CTTTTACCTTCTGGGTCAAGGAACTGACAAAAGTTCCACAATAACAACAGTTAATGCTTACTGGGTATTTAACGACCGCCGGACCCTGTACTGCACCCGCCACATGAATTACCTAGTTTAAGCCTCTCATCAGTACTAAGAGGTAGGTACAATTATAACCCCCATTTGCAAATGAGAAAACCGAGACATAGGAGATAAGGCGACTAACTCAAAGGCACACATCGAACCGCTGCTGAACAGGGCAGTCAAAGCTAGGTCTGCCAGACTCAAGAGCACCAAGTTATATCTCATTAAGCAGGCCCGGTTCGCCCAGAGCCGGAGAGGGCCCACGTTTTACATGCGAGCCAGGCGGGCCCTGCACAGGCGCTAGACGCGGTGACTCAATCCCCGGAGAATCTAGAGAAGAGGAGGCTCCAGACACTCCCAGACCCCTAAAACTGGCCTTTCGCGTTGCCGAGGACCCAGAACCTCCGAGTGTCCTCAGACCTCGGAGGGAGTGGCTCGAGACCACTATGATCCTCAGTTTCCCCATCAAGACAATTGGGCATCGAGGCCCTGGCCTGGCCCGCAGCCGGCGCGGACGTCCTCCCTTACGCCGCTCTCCGAGACTCCAGTAGGTTGAGTGGTTAGCGGGAGGCGGACTCGGATGGCCCCTCGAGGCCCACGGGCCACGCGCGCCCGCCCCTCACCTCCTTTAGGCATCTCGGCTCCGGCAGCTGCGGCGGCGGCGCCTCGAACTGACACCGGAACCGGAAACACTTCGGGCTCGACTTCTTCCGCCCAGCCTAGTCCTCTCAGCGTATCGCCGCCGCCGCGGTCGCTGCGAGGACCGGGAAACCTCGGAGGCCGGCACACGAAGCCGGACTGTCCCGCGCGCCGCCTGAGTCCAGGCTCGCCCGCGCGGTGCCGGGCAACTGCGCCCCAAGTCTCTCCTCCCAGGGAGACGCGTGAGGCAGCCGGGCACTCCCCTGAGAAGAGCAAAAAGCAACAGAAGCTCTGGAATTCTATACAGTCAGAGTTTGAGTCACCTAAGATGACGCAATCTCCGCACGAAGCGGGGCGGGATTCCGCGAGGACCTCATTCGAAGGCGATCACCTGGGAAGCGGAAGTCGTCGATAAAGAAACGGCGGTCGACGGCGACAGAGGTTCTGGTAGGTGTTTTTTAGTCTGTTCTCCAGTACCTTGGTAATGGCTGGGGCCAGGGATCGGAAGTCTGCATTGTTACAGAGGGCCCTCTGAACGGCTGGACTGGGACGGGTTCGGGATTCTGGTTGGCGTCAGTTCCGGAGAGGAGGCGGTGCCTCGCTTTCTCTTTTTTCTAGCCCTCATCCCGCTGCTGTTTTCTCTGCTAAGAGCGTTTTCTGTCTAAAAACTGCTTGTTCTTGTAAGCCGGGTTTAGATGCCGACCTCTCTATCATCCTTTCCTACAATTCCGGCTGTAACGTCTTCCCTCCTTTCCTCGGAACGCCTTTCCACTCGCCGCCTCTCCCGAGCGCTACTAACTCTCTCATAACCGCACCACAACTCTCTTGATCTAATTTATCTTCTACCAGTTATCTCCCCAGGGAGTCCTCCTCGGACTCCTAGGCTGGGCCAGGGCCCTCGAATTTCCCTGGGTGATAACAGAGTGGTCATTCCCGTATCTTTGTCCTTCTAGCCCGTGTGTGCTGGGGCACGGGCCAGATTCCATCCATCTCTAGCTTCAGCGTGGGGGATACAAGTGCAAAGACCACTGATTTGAGAGTCAGAATCCTATAATTAGAGTCATACCCTGCCAGTTCCCAGCTGTGTGACCCTAATTTTAGCTTTTGGAGTTTGATTTCTCGTCTGTAAGGTGGTTATGCAGAAATCAAGAAAGGAGGTGGGGCGGGGTGGACTTTGTAAACCATCAGGCACCCCTGGAAGGGAGTGACTGAATTTGGGAGAGAGGACTCTGCCATGCTTAAAGGTGAGAGATAACCTGATTTCTCTTTGCCACCTAGGAAATGCTATGAAGTTTGAAAAAAATACTTTGGTATCTATAAAATGGCTGGACTATTGTATGAGCTTTATATGACTTGCCTCTATGTAGTATGTTCGTTAGGTTTAAAAGAGACCTTGGCAATCTGGCTAATCTGTTGCTCTTATTTTACAGATGAGAATAAGGACCAGAGAAGGAATGTGACCTCCCCAAAGTCACAGAGTAACTGGTAGAGCTGGCCAAGAACCTAAACCTGTAACTAAAGAGACCAGCGATTTTTCTTTTATACTTTTGGGAAGCAGACCCTAAGGTACTTTTGTTTTATACTGTCTTTTTCCCTTTTAAACACACATCTTCTAAGCTTCCCAAACCATAGTTCTCGCACTGTATTGCCACCTTCTCAGGGAGAGGTTGTGTTTTATTTTTTCTCTGTGTTCCCAATATCCAGTACAGGGCAGGCTCATAGTTGATGTCAGTTGACGATAAGAGCAAAGACCTAATAAGCACATATTTCGCTCCAGACATGTTTTATACAATTATAATTAACTTTTCACACTGACTCTATAATGGAGATTCTGTTATATCCCCTTTTTACAGTTGAGGTAATAAGAGGGAAGTGAGTGAGCACCAAATAGTGGCTGGCGAAGGCTTTTGGGGATTTGAGTTTCAGAAACCAATTCATTTAATTTCCCCTCCTCCCCCTCCTCAGATCTTTGCAAATTACCTTGTGGGGAAAAAATGCCTAAAGTCAAAAGAAGCCGGAAAGCTCCCCCAGATGGCTGGGAGTTGATTGAGCCAACACTGGATGAATTAGATCAAAAGATGAGAGAAGGTGCGTGGCGGAGGTCCTGTCTTGGTGGGCTGCATTCAAAGGTCACAGGTTTAGATGCCTCCAGGGTCCAGGTATAAAGGCAAGCATAAATGCAAGGGGTTGGGGGGGTAACACTGTGGCCTCCTGATACTGACATGTTTTGTTTGCTTATTAACTCAGGAATACAGTAAGTGTTGGAAAGTAAGATAACACTAATGAAAAGGTCCTCAAAACCATTTTTGGGGCCAAGTTGAATGTAAAAGCTTTAGGGAATATAGATCAAATAATCTACCTATAATTACTTACAAAGTAATTATATTCACAAAGTAAAGTACGAGATCACACGTTTGGAAGGAAGTGAAGATTTTGCATATTTATACTTGTATGATATTCTTTCTTTTTAATTAAGTTTATTGCGGTAACATTGGTTACTACAATTACATTTTTTTTAGGTATACATTATCATTAGACATCTATATATTCTATTGTGTGTTTACCACCCAAAGTCCAGTTTCCTTCAACTACCATATATTTGATCCCCTTTACTCACTTCACCCTCTCCTTGTCCCATATTTGACCCCCTTTACCCTGTCTACCTACCCCCTCACCCAACTAGTAACCACTAGTCCATGTCCATGAGTCTCTGTCTGTCCTGCTCATTTGTTGCTTTTAGGTTTATATCCCACATATAAGTGATATGTGCTTTGCAACTTTTTCTGCCTGGCTTATTTCGCTTAGCATGATTATCTCAGGGTCCATCCATGTTGTCACAAATGGCAGTATTTCATCTCTTCTTATGGCTGAGTAATATCCCATTGGATGTATGCATTGTGAATAATGCTGCTATGAACATCGGTATGCAAATATCTTTTGGGATATGGGTTTTCAAGTCTTTGGGGTAAATACCCAGTAGAGGGATTGCTGGATCATATGGTAGATCAATTCTTAGTTTTTTGAGGAAGCTTCATACTGTTTTCCATAGTGGCTGTACCCATTTGCAGTCCGAGCGGCAGTGTATGAGGGTTCTTTATTCTCCACATTCTCTCCAACATTCGTTATTACTTGTCCTGTTGAGTATAGCTATTCTAACAGGTGTGAGATGGTATCTCATTGTGGTTTTGATTTGCATTTCCGCAATAGCTGTTGAGCATTTGTTGAGATGTTGAGCATTTTTTCATATATTTGTTGGCCATTTGTATGTTCTCTAGGGAGAAGTGTCTGTGACATGTATGATATTCTTTATCTCCAAAAGAAGTATTTTTTCTCCCATTTTTATTAAACCATATAGCTCTTCAGCATTTCTTTGCTTTCTCATTTTGCTCTTACTTCCACGATAAAAAAAACAATGTGGATGGCAGGTGGTGCCAGACTTGGCTTCAGTGTTGGAAACAATAGGGAACTCTGGGTATGTGGCAGACCAGAGAGGGACAGAAGCTGCTACTTACCTAGAGCCCATTTTACCATGTGGAATGCAAGCTCAGCATTACCAAATTTGCTAATTTTTTCTCAAGAGAAGTCAGAAATCCAACTTTTATGTGAACTGTTCTAATTTAAAATTTAAACTAAAAAGTTTGTGGGAAGAGCCAAATAAAGCCTGCCTTCAGGCTCGCTGGGGCTGCCAACTTCCAGTTTGTAACCTCTAGTACAAGTTTTGATTGTAGGCCATGAAGGACCCTTGTGTGGCCTTTGGCATTACTAAACCTGTCCTTTTTATCTGAGAGCCATTTGCAATTGGCACTGTTATCTTAGGAAGGAACATTTCTGTTTTCTCTTTTAGTTTGTCCCCAGTATTTCCTAGCTTAGCACAACTTCTCAGCTCTTCATATGTCTCTTAGTTCATTATTCAAGTTTTTGCATAGCCACTGTTGCCCTATAAGTCCTCAAAACAAACAAACAAAAAGCCTGATTATAGAGACTGAGGGGCAGAGATGGGGGAAATTATGTGTGGCAGAGGGTTTTATGGGGATTGACAAGGGCACTCTGTGTGACCAGGACATGTAAATAACTGTTTTTATAAGGACTTTATACTAGTTAACAATCAAGTGTAATCAACACTTGCCTAAGAAACATTTAGACTTTTTAAGAATAATTGTAAAATAATTATTTCCCAGGTTTTGAAGTTCATAGGCAGTTTTTGGCATTAGCAAAGAGGCCAAAACCTAAGTCTAGTCTATGCCATGATATCCCCTACCTCTGGCCTCTTCATACCTTCATAGTGACAGGAAGGCATCACCTACTGAAAACTGCCTTCCACTTTGTGAATCTGTAGAAAACGATATCCTGGAATGTTTGCATGATCTTGTGAAAATGGGTCAAAAAAAGGGATTTTAAAAATGCAGGTGATGCTATGATTAAATATTGAGAAAAGACTCAATAGTATAGCGAGGGAGGTTCCACTTCCATGATGGCAGCGTGAGTTCCTAGCCCACCCACCCCCAGCCCTACCCTTTCCTCAGTGATCCCATCCAGTCACATGGCTTTCCCCACTCTTCACCAGGTGACCAGATGTCTTCTCCAGCCTTGACTCTACAGTAGACTATACCAACTGTCTGTTGGATGGCCCCATTTGGATATCTAAAAACATTTCAAACTTAACATGTTTGAACTGAATCCTCTTTCACCCACCCCAGAGCTGCTTCCCTTCTCAGGCCACAAACTGCGGAGCTGTCCATGACTCCCCTTTTTCTTTTATTCTTCCTATCCAAGCATCCATAACATCGATTCCTAAAAAGGGTGGCAGAACAGAGTGGGAAAATTGTTACAGAGAAATAAGACTTGAGACAAAAAAATCAACCAAATACAACATCTGGATGTTATCTGGATCCTAATTCAGACACACTAGTTGTCAACAGGTATTTTTGAGGCAATCAGTGAAAACTGAACATGGACTGAATATGGGATGCCAATAAGAAATAATGATCGATTTCATTGCATGAGATATTGACATAGATATTTTTTAAATCTTTAGTATGTTAGAGACGTATATGTACTTATGAATGCGATACTTAATTTTTGTGATTCATTTTTAAATACTCTAATTCCCCCACTCCCCAAAGTGGGGAGAATGAGATAAAATAAAACTAGCTATTAGTAATTGTTGAAATTGGGTGATAGGTACTTGAGAGTTCAATAAAATGTTTTCTTTTGTGTATATTTGAAATTATCCATAGTGAAATCTTAGAAAATTAATGAATCTAAAATCTGGCTCCTTTTATCCCATCTACCCCCACCACCTGGTTCAAGCTACCCTCACCCATCATCTGGATTACTGCAATAGTTTCCTGCTTCTCTCCCTACAGTCTTCTCCACAGGGCAGCCAGGGTGAGGGTTTTAAGTCAAGTCAGATCATATCACTTTCTGCTCAGCATCCTCCAATGGCTCACCTCCCCATCAGCACAAAATCGAAATTCTTTTGTGGCCTTCCAAGTCAAACACACACTTGCCCCAGTTCCTTCTAGAACTCCATCCCCTACCTCTCTCCCTCACTCCCCACCAAACCCCGCCCCACCCAACTCTGCTGTTCCTTGATCCCTAGGTACAGTCTTGTCCTCAGGGTCTTTATTTGCTCTCTCTCTTAAGCATATTTGTCCTTCATTTTTCTTTCTTTTTTATTGAGATATAATTGACTTAAAACACTATATTAGTTTTGGTGTGCCAACTAGTGATTTGATATATGTATATATTGTAAAATGATTACCACAATAAGTTTAGTAAACATCCATCACTTCACATAACTTTTTTCCTTGTGATGAGAACTTTTGAGATGTACTCTTTTAGCAACTTTCAAATATACAATTCAGTATTTTTAACTGTAGTCACCGTGCTGCACAATACACCCCTAGGATTTCTTTATCTTATAAAAGTATGTACCTGCACCTGTTTCTCCTGCCCCCTAGCCCACCAACACCCCTTGTTTCTTAAGGTCTCTGATCAGACATCTCCTTTGATCACCTATATAAAATGGCAGTCCCCTGTTCCCATTTTCCATCTCCTTCCATGTTTTCTTTTTCTCTGGCCATTACCACTTACCACCAGATGACAAAATGCTTCCATCCCCTGGAACTCAGCTCTGGGGCATCTCTGTCTTCCACACTGCTATGTCTTAGGCACCCACGGCAGGGCCTCGCCCCCAGCAGGCACACAGTGTACACTTGTGTCAAACCTGCCTTTTACTTGGATCACAGAATCCTGTTGAGCTGAATTATAAAATGTAATAAAATGGCCTCAGAGTTGGAGAAATGGAGGTAATAGTTTTTTTTTTTGTTTAACTGTTCTTCATCTTCCTCCTCTGCCTTAAAAACGAAGAATGGCAGACAAAGATCAGCTTATAACTGAGAGAAAGTTGCCTCATGGCACGTGCAAGGGTGTGAGATGCTCCTGATCCTGTAGGTATTGATGGATTGACGGAACAGTTGTTTCCTGCAGGACTGCATGCTGTGAACTTTCAGGCCTGTCCAATTTTTTTTTCTCTTATTCCTAAAGGACTTTGGTTGGGAAATGAAATTAGAGGTACCTTAAAGATTATTAGGATAGCCATCTGTAGACCCAGAATTATCTTGAGAATTATGCTGTAGAGGACGTGGTTCCATAGTGTAGCTTTACACACAAAAGGTCCTGGGTTCACGCCCTAGTGGAGCCATGGTCCATGGTTTACGGCCATGCCACCCTGAACAAGCCCAATGTCTGATCTCGGAAGCTAAGCAGGGTCGGACCTGGCTAGTACTTGAATGGGAGACCACCTAGGAAGACCAGGTGCTGTAGGCATAAATAATAATAAATTAAAAAAAAAAAAAAAAATTATGCTGTAGAAATAGGTCTGAAAGGTTAGAGACCAGAGGTTATCTTTGAATGACTTCTTAAAATCTTTGTTTTCTAATTTAGCTAATTAAAAAAGCATTTTTAAATTTAAAACAACATACTTTATAAGATAAAGAAGTTTGGGGGATGTATTATTGTGCAGCATAGTGACTACAGTTAACAATGCTGAATTGTATATTTGAAAGTTGCTAAAAGAGTAGATCTCAAAAATCTCATCACAAGAAAATTAAAATTTAAAACAATTAAATCATGGCTTTTTTTTTTTACTTTATTTTAAATAACAACTCTATTAAGATAGAAATCATATGTAAAACTTGCCCTTTTAAAGTGTTCAAGTATGAGGGGGGTTCAGTAGATTCAGAGTTGGGCAACCAACACCACAATCAGTTTTACATTTCATCACTCCCAAAAGAAATCCCATACCCTTTAGTGGTCATCCTCCCTCTCATATCTCCCAATTTTAGGCAACCAGTAATCTACTTTGTCTCTAAAGACATAGAATCATACAAAAGGTGAGCTTTGGGGACTAGTTTCTTTCACTTAGTATAATGTTTTCAAGGTTCATCCAGGTTTTAGCATTTATTAGTACTCCATTACTTTATATAGACTAAATAATATTCCATTGTATGGGTAGGTGACATTTTATCTATTCTTCAATTGATGGGACACTGGGGTGGTTTCTCCTTTTTGGCTTTTGTGAATAATGCTGCTGTGAACATTTATATACAAGTTTTTGTGTACATATGTGTTTCCCGTTCTCTTGGATATATACTCAGGAGTAGAATTTCTAAGTCATGTGGTAACTCTGTGTTTAACTTTCTTAGGAACCACCAGACTATTTCCACAGTGGCTGTATTATTTTACATTCCCATCAGCAGCGTGTGAAGATTCTGATTTCTTCACATCCTCAATACCTGTTATTGTCTATCATTTTGATTATAGCCAATTTAGTGGGTATAAAGTAGGATTTATTCTTTATTTCTAGTTATTAAAAAAAAAAAACTCACTGCATCCTATGCAGAGTAACCCTACCTGCCCAAACACACCTTTTT